AAAAGCAAAGACTATGTCATATGAAGCAGGAACTTCACGAATATTGAACTGACCTAAATTGAATCCATTTGGCTTGCTCAGTGAGTACATTTAAACCTCTCCATGAAGCCTGGTGCTTTATGGTAGGGAAACCCACGATTTACCAATTTTATCATTTACCATAATGGTAAATGGCAAAGTGGTAAAAATTCACCATTTAAAAAAATTACCTTGAAGAAAATTACTTGGGAAACTAGCCTAAAATAAGTAACAGTTTTCAAGAAGTTTGAGAAAAGGAATGCCATTCTTAGTCTCATAGTAAGGAACATAGGATCATAGACTTCAAGTAGAAGAGCAAAGAGGTTATCTTCTTCTTACAAGTGAGGTCCAGAAAGATTAAATAACTTGTCTGAGGTCACACAGGTAGAAAAGAGCAGAGTCAGGATTCAAATTAGGATCATATTTCCACTCCCAGCTTTCCATTTCATTTTTCTTGTTATTCTTACCCATCATTTTCCATATGAATTTTTATGATTTTAGATTATATTATTTCATGAAATAATTTATTGGTATATTGATTGGCATTGTGTTAAATCTATAAATTGAGTTGGGTAATATTAACACATATTTGCTCAACATAAGCATTAATAGCAGGTATTCAGTGTCCTTTCCACTGTACTACATTGCTTTTGCTCAGAAAATCGTAGTCTGTCACTTTGAAAAAAAAAAGATTGGTGGTGATATAAATTATTTATATTTCTTTTTGAAGTTTATTTACTCATGAAAACATAAAGTTCTGTAAGCTATTGTTGAATTTGTTTAATTTCCCCATCTCATTTTTATTGTTTTGACAATGTATGTTGCTTCTGATTTTTCTACTCTTTTTTCCCATTATGCTAAAAGTGTTTGCTTTTAAAAGTTATAGGGGTTGGATTGTCTCCCGTGCTAGTTCTATTGAACACTCTGTCTTAAGAGAGAGGTATATCTAAGCTGGAGCGTGTTAAGGGTGGGGGAGGGAGGGAGAATAAGTTCCTTTTTCCTGGTGTGTACTGCAGAAAGTTTATTTGGTAGGAAAACTCAAGGAAACTAATCATCAACCTGGTTTCATTTGTTTCCCCATTCCCTGTTATACTTTAGCACCTCCCATAATCTTTTGGCATCTTGCTGAGTGAGTGAATGAATGAATGAATAAATGAAAGAAAATTCATTTATTAAGTGCTTAGTATGTATCAAGTACTGGGAATGCAAATACACATCAAAAATAGTCAATTAGTTCAAGAAGCTTACATTCTAGAGCATTGAGCCTGGTGTCAGGAAGGTCTGAGTTTAAATGTGGCCTTAGGTACTTACTAGCCAGGGCACAGCTAGGTGGCAGCTAGGTGGCACAGTAGATAGAGCTCAAGCCAAAGTTAAGTCACTTCACCTCTCTCTGTCTCAGTTTCCACATCTTAAAAAATGGGGGTAATAATAGCACTTATCCCACAGTGTTACTGTGAGGATCAAATGAGATGTCTAAAACATTAAAGTACTATATAAATGCTCACTTTTATTATTACTATCATTATTATTATTATTATCATGGAAGATAACATATATGGAGTAGTGATGGCTGGGGAGGGGAAGTTTTGGTCTGGGAAGTCAATTGACTCCTTTCCAGAAATCGTAGCCTTGACTTCAGAAAAACCCGGAAAGATTTGTATGGTCTGAGGCTGAGTGAAATGAGCAGAACCAAGAGAATGTTGTACAATGAATAATATTGTTAAACTTAACCCTTCCCAGCAATACAAGGATCTAAGACATCTCCAGAGGCCTTGTGATGGAAAATGCTATCCACATCCAAAGAAAGAACTATGGAAGTTGAATTGCTATTTTTTTTCTTCTTCCATTGAGTTTTGTTTCCTCTTTCTGACGGTTCCTCCTATCGGTTTTAATTTTTACATATAACATCACTAATGTGAAAATATGCTTAATGGGAATGTAAATGTATAGCCTATATCAGATTGTGTGCCATCTTGGGGAGGGAGGTGGGGAGGAGGGGGGAGAAAAATTTTAAACTGAAAAGCATATGGAAGTGATTATTGATAAATCAAAATAAATTTTTTTAAAAAACAATAAAAAAAAACAGAAATCATAGCCTTGTAGCATTGATTCAATTACTGTATGAAGAGCAAGAATGAAGGATGATCAGTCTGGGACACAGATATAATGAAATCCAACCCATCAGGAATATATCAGCCCCAGGGCAAGAGCTGTAGTGCTAGGTCTCAGGCAGAGGAAGGTGACACATTCAATTCCAAACTCTTCAGGACTAACTCCAGGAAGGAGAATGAGAAAGGCTCTTTTGCAGATGACAGCTCAATAGGTTCCTGATTTCCAGCTTGCCCATCTAGAGGCTTTGAGGAATTTTCCTGTGGGTGAGATTGGGGCCTATCTCGTCATTGAGCAAGATCTTAGTTCACTACAATCTAAAGGACTCATACACTTGTATATTTTTTCTGGTGTATTACAATTTGTAGAATTCTGATTTCTTTCTGCTGTTTGCTTGGATAAATGGGTTTAATCACTACTGACTATTTGTGATGATCCTTTGTGAAATTAGCATTTGGTGGAAAGGAGTTAAGCTTGCATGTGTATATATGTGGGTTACCCTTCCCCTTTTAGAAATAGCAACAAAGAGTGAAGTGAGCAGAAGCAGAAGAACATTGTACACAATAATGGCCACTTTGTGTGACGACTAACATTGATGAATTTAACCCTTCCCAGCAATACAAGGACCTAAGACATCTCCAAAGGCCTCGTGATGGAAAATGGTATCCTCATCCAAAGAAAGAATTATGGAGTTTGAATGCAGATCGAAGCATACTATTTGCTTTTTTTTTTCTCTTCTGTTGAGTTTTGTTTCCTCTTTCTGGTGGTTCCTCCTATTGGTTCTAATTTTATATATATGTGTGTGTGTGTGTGTGTGTGTGTGTGTGTGTGTGTGTGTATTAGCCTATATAAGATTATGTGCTGTCTTGGGGGGGAGGAGTAGTGGAGAGGAAGGGGGAGAAAAATTTTAAGCTCAAAAGCATATGGAAGTGATTGTTGATAAATAAAAATAAATTAATAAAAAAAGAAAAGAAAAGAAACAGCAGCAAAGGATCAGCTAGGTGGTGCAGTGAATAGAAGTCAGGAGGACCTGAGTACAAATCCAGCCTCAGAACAAACATTTGATATTTACTAGTTGTGTGACCCTGAGCAAGTCACTTAACCCCAATTTGCCTAAAAAAAATTTATCTCATTTGATCCTCACTTATCTCACAGTAAAGTAGATATCGTTATTATCCTCATTTTACATTTGAAGAAATTAAGATAAACAGAAGTTAAGTGACTTCCTCAAGATCATACAGCTACTAAGTGTCTGAGGCTGGATGTGAATTCAAGTCTTCTTGACTCCATACTCATTGCACTACCTACTTGCTTTAACATGCCTTTCTTGAACACAGTAGGCCCATAACTAAATGTTTGTTGGATTAGATTGTATGAACAAGTGTGATCCAGCTATATCCAAGGCTCAATGAGGTCTATGACACTGTTCAGCTTGCAGATGGTCTGTTGACTGTGGCCAAGCCCCTTCCTCCTCCTACCACTACAGAGGGAAGAATGGCAGTTGATACTCACCTGAGATGTGAAGGGGGCAAAGACAAATAGAAGAGGACACCCTAGTAATCCGTAGGGTAAATTAAAAATACAACATCCCAAAGATGGAATCATCAAACCATGATTGTAAGGATAGGACAGGCAGAAAATTAAGCAACAAGCAGAAAACTTAGGGAAGAACCACTGATACAAAGTGAGGCAACAATTATAGGCTTTCATAATGTGTGAGGTAGACATATGATGTGTGAGTTAGACAGTGGTGGGCAGAGGACCAAATGAGATCCTGTAACAAACAGCTCACATAGGATCGGTTCCTCCAGTAGCCAGCAGCCTTGAGGGGTCTACTCAAGTGTCTGAAGGTCAGAATAAGCAGAATTTCCCTCCCTTTTTTATCTAGGAGGATAAGCCTTTTGAATTGTAAAAATGAAATGTTCTTTATGTAAAAAGATAATGTTACTCCCCTCTCGGGGTTCCATATCATAAAGGGATAATGCTACTTACCTGACTGTTCCATACTGAGCTTCTCTAAGGTTTTTCTTTGTTTTTCCCCAGCACTAGCAATAATTTGTCATGGGGTTTGCAAGGACAGCTGGTTAGTATCAGGGGTGCAGGCCAGATGCAGGCATGTAGAGTGAAACTAACTAGCCTCTATAGGGAGTAAACCTGTGTTTACCCTCCTGAATAAAAGCCTTAGGCTACCCAGCCTCACCAGCCACAGACTTGGTCAGCTACAGAAAGTGTCAGATCTGGGGCCTATGACCAAGAAAGGGTGGCTGATAAGGAGAAATAATGGGATCCTTGGATTTAGAGGTGAAAGGAAATCAAGTACAACATGTTATTTCCCAGATGAGGACCCTGAAGACATGAAAGATGCCTTACTCAAGGTTACATAGTAAACAGGAAAATCAGGATTTGAACCCAGATGCTTCACATTGAGGAAAATGACCAATTACTCTAATTTCCCCAAAATATGGGAGGACTCAGGTAGCCTTTTAATTATATTTATTTAATCACGGGATCTCATAATCTCTTCTCTCTCCCCATCCCCAGGCCTTGCTGCTTTCCCCTAAAAACAAACAAATAAATAAACAGATAACCCAGTTCCTACTGCCTTGAGCTGTTGATACAAACCTGAACTGCAAAATAAAACTATTAGTTGGACCTTGCCCCAAATGTACATTGGATTTAATTGGAGCACTGAATCCCGGCCTTCAGATAGTGACCCACATGTTTTTTGTGCAGTATATCCAAATTGGGTTGAACATACAAAAGTATATGGTTGACTGGATGAAAAATGCATTATTCTCCATTCTTGAACCTATTAGCAACTGCCTAACCTATCACTATTATTTCCAGGTACTCATTCCAGTAAGTCAGGCCTATCTTCTTTGGAAAGTCAGATTTCATTGAGTAGAGGCCATGCAAATGAGGAAACATAGACAATAAGTAAGGGGAACAAATATAATTAAAACTCATCCCCTTCATTTTCATCTTCAAATGAGTCAGTCCCCACCTCTTCATAGTCTTTCTCCAGAGCAGCCAGGTCCTCTCTGGCCTCTGAAAACTCGCCTTCTTCCATACCCTCACCAACATACCAGTGCACAAAGGCACGTTTAGCATACATCAAGTCAAACTTGTGATCCAGCCGGGCCCAGGCTTCAGCAATGGCAGTGGTATTGCTCAGCATGCAGACAGCCCGATGAACTTTTGCCAGATCTCCTCCTGGTACCACTGTGGGAGGCTGATAGTTGATACCCACCTAAAGTTCAAAAGGAGGGGAAAATATTAGAGCTGACTCTCAAGCAGTCAGTGAGTAAGTACCAAAGGCACTTTGATGATAATAATGATAAGCCAGGTAATAAGAGATTGAAATGTAGGTTGAGATGTAAAAATGGAAGTGAGTCAGTAAGTATATCTGAAGGAGAATGGTAAAAAGAGGATTTTCAGATCCTGGGTATGGAGGAAAAGGAATAGAAGAGGTGACTTGAGGGATAAGGAATAGTAACAGAATGCTAGTTAAGGTACATGAAAAATTCTAAGGTTCTAAGGGCCAGAGAGAGAAGATCAGGAGGATAGCACAAGAGAGGGGGAATGATGAGAAGGACAACAAACTTTGACATTGTAATCCATGCCTTCTTGGAACTCTTTCCTCCCATGAATTGATTTTCTTCCTACTTTTTTCCTTCAGAGTAACCTTTGATGACTTCTCCAAATATTTATGCTTTCTCTTAACTGTAGACATCTGTCAAAGTTCTGATCTCTCTTCTTTACACACAGGAGTTGGGAGAGTTCCACAACTCCTCTGACCTTCCCAAGGACTTTACAATTCACCTTTTGCACTTTCTCTTACACCTTATAATAAGGCTATTTGTAATAATGCATGCATATTCTCCCCTCCTAGATTGTAAGCTCCATGAGTGCCAAGATCATGTCTTATTCTCTATATTTCCCACAGTTCCTAACACCTTGCCTTTCAAATAAGGGGGACTATGTAAATGTTTGTTGAATGAATGAAAGTTATGGATAGAAAGAGTAAATGGAAACATACAAGTTGGTAAACAAGAGTAGCAAATAGGGTTAGTGTTAATGTGTCGGTAGACACACCAGACATACATCATTCCCCAAGTTACTTTGTTGAGTTAGAATTTTATGAAAAGTTGGTTTCTTGCCAGCTGGCAAGTTCCTTTTAGAAATATAACCAAAAAATTTAGGAAAGGTGATCTTTCAAGGATTGGGACCTATTCCAAATTCTCAGGTCATCATGGCTTAATGTTAGCTGGTGCCCATGTCTCCTGAGAGGCATAGTTGAAAAGAAAAGCATGAAACTTGACTAAGAAAAACCAGCCGTGCCTGACTTACTAACTGATCAAGTGACAGCAAACAGGCAGAGTGGCCTCTGGGAAATCCCAGTCCAAGTTGAAAAGGAGGCTATGATACTAGCAAATGCTCCCACACAGCCCCCCTACCTTAACTCCAGGTTCAGGGAACTTCAAGGGACTAGAAAAAAACTTGGTCTGAGAATTCCAAATCACAATGTTCTTTCAAAGACCCTGAGAAGGGCACTAGAAAAAAATTCTCAAAAAATTCTACATTTCACTTCCCATTCATGTCTCAACACCTATATTTTGGCTTCCAGTCCCATCACTCAAACAAAACTGCACTCTCCAAGGTTACCAACTATTTCTTACCTGATAAATCTGGTGGCCACTTATCAATTATCTTACTTGACTTCTCTGAAACTTTTGACACTGATGATCATCTCTTCCTCCTGGACATTCTCTCCTCCCTTGGCTTTCCTTTTGTGTTGTTCTTTCTTGGTCTTCCTTTCTCAAAGCTGATGCATCTCCTACCACAAGTGTCCCTTAAGGCTATCTCCTCCCTTCTCTTTTTCATCACCTCTCTGGACCATTACAGTAGCTTCCTAAATGTCCTCTCTGCTTCCATTATGTATCCTCTCCAGTATATTCTTCATACTACTGCCAACATTTTCCTAAGGAGCAGTCTGACCAGGTTATTCTCCTACTCAAAAATTTTCAGTGGCTCCCAATTGCTCCCAGAATAAAATACAAGTTACTTACTCTGGAACTGAAAGCCTTTCATAATCTGCTCCAATATACCTTTCCAGTCTTGTTTTATATTACCTCTTTTATGTACTCCAGCTTCTAGCTATTTCCAGAAGTCAGAATCTCTGCGCTGAAACATATTCCCTACTTACCTCTCCTTCTGACCATGTTGCTGTCTATAGTGGGAATTCAGTAAATGTTTAGGATCAATATGTTTAGAGTTAGAAAGGATCTTAAGATCTAACTCCTAATTTTACAGATGAGGAAACTGAAGCCCAGAGCTGTTAAGTGACCTAAATAAAGTTACACTGATAGTATGTGGCAGATATGGGATTGGAACCCACATATTCTGACCAGAGCCAACATTCTTTCCACTACATAGTGATGCTGATGGTACCTGGCAAAGCCCATCATGATGAGGGTCACTCAGCCCATGGGCATGCAGGGCACACTGGGCAGAATAAGTTACAGTCACTTAACCTAGAGGCAATTTCCATTCATCTAGGTAGAGGTGCTATTAAAATTCATGATTGCCAGCATCCAGGGACCTTTCTTAGAATCTCATGAGTCTTTTACCATCTGAGATTTGGCATTTTCTAAAACGAGGATGATCCACCTATGTTTATATACAGTCCACCAATCTTCCCCAGCTTTGGCTTATACATGGCAAAGGGGAAATGCCAAAATCTTGTGGGTAGCAGGGAGAATTTTAAATTGTTCTCTTTAATTAGGTATTTAGCTTCCTAACATATAAAAATAATGGAATACACTTACTCAAATGCTAAATAAACCCCACATAGATAAACTTCTATACAGGCAGGTGGGGGGTGCAAATTCTCATGTTGAGCAGAGTTATGCCATCCTCATAACTTAAAACTATTTGCTTGATTAAAATATGAAAAGAGTGAAAGAATTATTATATCTTAAAAAATAAAATGTATATAGTGACTAAGTTTTAGTACCTTTAGGCAAGGACTCAAACTGAACTGCTTTCCCTGAACCAGAATTAACAACTCCAGGTTACAAGGACAGCCTGGTTGTCAGAGGCGAATAGGTGGTGCAGTGGATAGGGAGCTAGGCCTAGAATTGGGAATATCGTAGTTCATGCCCAAAGGGCTATAAAACTGTGCACACCCTTTGACTCAGCAGTAGCACTTCTAAGGCTGTATCCCAAAGAGATCATAAAATGGGAAAAGGACCCACATGTAACAAAAATATTTATAGCAGCTCTTTTTGTGGTGGCAAAGAATTGGAAACTGAGGGGAGATGCCCATCAATTGGGGAATGGCTGAACAAATTGTGGTATATGAATGTAATGGAATACCATTGTGCTATAAGAAATGATGAGCAAGCAGATTTCAGAAAAACTTGGAAAGACTTACATGAACTAATGCTGAGTGAGCAGAACCAGGAGAACATTGTACACAGTAACAGCCATGTTGTGCATTGATAGACTTAGCCCTTCTCAGCAATGCAAGGATCTAAGACATCTCCAAAGGTCCCATTATGGAAAATGTTATCCACATCCAAAGAAAGAACTATGGAGTTTGAATGCAGATTGAAGCATACTATTTGCTTTTTTTTTTCTTCTGTTGTGTTTCGTTTCCTCTTTCTGGTGGCTCCTCTTATTGGTTCTAATTCTTCCTTACAACACCACTAATGTGAAAATATATTTAATAGGAATGTACATGTATAGCTTTTATCAAATTGCATGCCATCTTGGGAAGGGAAGGAGGGAGGGAGGGGGAGAAAAATTTTAAACTCAAAAGCTTATGGAAATGATTGTTGATAAATCAAAATAGATTAATAAAAAAAAAAAGGAATATCTAAGTTCAAATCCAGCCTTGGACACTTCTTAGCTTTATGACCCTGGGCAAGTCAATTTACCACTCTGTGTGTGTGTGTGTGTGTGTGTGTGTGTGTGTGTGTGTGATAATTCTCACTCATATCCCAGAAAAAAAATTAAATAAAGTCTGTGACTTATCTCCCTGAGCTTTTCTCAGCCAATGGGTCGTTGAACAGTTATCAGTTAATTGTGACTTCTCTTCCAATACCAGTCCGGACTAGAATTGAACTGGTGGCCCATTTGGTGAAAAGATCTCTTCTCAAACTAACCAACCTGCTTTCCTGCTGATGATGATTACTTGTTTAATGATCATAGCTGAGCAAATAGAGAAGCTAATTTTATTTTTAACATTACTGTTTGATTTTAGCCTCTGCTTCATAGTAAATTAAATTGCGATTTATTTGGTGTTGGGGGCTGGGGAAAGTTGAGAGTACACAGAGAAATATATTATATATCACACATATTGCTCACTTATGATCTTCATTCAGATGTATCCCTGCAATCTCCAAATTAAAGAAAAAATATTTATAGTAGTGATTTGTTGAAGTAATATATAGCTAATCATATATTTCATAGATCCCTTCATTTTTTTTACTCGATTAAGTTATTTTTAATAAAACTTTGATAAAATATTTTTTTAGTTAAAAAATTTTTAACATGATTTTGCTTGTTTTGTCTTTCAGAAATTAGACGTCAGACTTACAGACCAACTAACAATGTTTGGAAAGTGCCTTATATTGTGGGCATCCAGAAGTATGTTTGCCTCAGTTTCCTCAATTATAACATGAGGATAATAATAGTACCCACTTCACAGGGTTGTTGTGAAGATTAAATGAGATAATATTTTTAAATATTATCATTCCAGTGCCTAGCATGTAATAGGACTTCTATAAATGCTTATTCCCTTACCTTACCCCAGGTTGCTGAATAAGAAATTAAACGCCTAATTTTTTTCATGTGATCTGTTAACTGAACTAGGTTGTATGAATGTGCATACATGTTTATCTAGCAAATCAATTCAAACCAGAACCAAACCAACATATTTTCTAAAATTACTAAAAAACCAGATGACACTGGAATATCATAATAATCTGCTAACCAAATCTGAAAAAAAAACAGTATTTCATAACAAATCCCTATGCCTAAGAGGCACAGAAACCTCCAAATGAATACTTTTCTTCCCTCTGTTCCCTCTGCTCTTCCTTCTCTGAATCAGTGTTCTCACCTTGAAACCTGTGGGGCACCAGTCCACAAACTGGATGGTTCTCTTGGTCTTGATAGCAGCAATAGCAACATTCACATCTTTGGGGACAACATCCCCTCGGTAGAGCATACAGCAAGCCATATACTTGCCATGCCTTGGGTCACACTTTACCATCTGGCTATTGGGCTCAAAGCAGGAGCTCGTGATCTCAGCTACTGAAAGCTGCTCATGGTAGGCTTTCTCAGAGGAAATGATAGGTGCATAGGTGACCAAGGGGAAGTGAATGCGAGGATAAGGCACCAAGTTGGTCTGGAATTCAGTGAGGTCCACATTGAGGGCACCATCAAAGCGGAGGGAGGCAGTGATGGAGGAGACAATCTGGCTAATGAGGCGGTTGAGGTTGGTGTAAGTCGGACGCTCGATATCCAGGTTGCGACGGCAGATATCATAGATGGCCTCGTTGTCTACCATGAAAGCACAGTCCGAGTGTTCCAGGGTGGTATGAGTGGTCAAGATTGAGTTGTAAGGCTCAACCACTGCGGTGGAAACCTGAGGGGCTGGATAGATGGCAAACTCCAACTTGGACTTCTTGCCGTAGTCCAGGGAGAGACGTTCCATCAGCAGAGAAGTGAAGCCAGAGCCAGTGCCCCCACCAAAGCTGTGGAAGATGAGGAAGCCCTGAAGGCCTGAACAGGAGTCTGTCTAAGAGACAAAGAGAAATCAAAAGAAACCATGGAGATGAAAGAGTTTTCAAGAAGAGGTTGGCAGTGGGCAAACAGTCAGATATGCCAATGTCCCTTTGATCCAAGGCCAGCATAGACCTGGGGTTTCAATGGCCCCTTATTGCCACAGGCAATATGAGACTGTGTGTCACTTCAACTGTTTCATACTGGCAAAAAATCAGATTAGCATACACATGTTCAGCCTTTAAGGCTGAAAAAGCACCATTATCCTTAGGGGTATATGTGCTGCCTCCTTTGTCTTGATGGTGGGCAGTTTCCTCCTGGATACTTTCTTTAGGTTTTTAGGACACTACTCCATTTTTTTGTTGTTGGGTTTTGTTTTTTGTTTGACTAATGTGTTTTCTTTTTAAATTACAAACATTTACAGATTACTCACACTTCATGAAAGGTTTCTTATAATAATGAAAAACTATTAAGTAAAATTAATAGTACAATGGCTTCATCTGAGAGCATGCAACATTCCATATCTATAGCACACACTGCGCCCCATCTCTCTGCTAAAAAAAAATGACAGACATCTATTTTCTCTCCCTGCTACCTCCCACCCCATTGGCGGGGGGAGGAGAAGAAGAGCAAATTTCCTATAACAAATGGGTATAGGAAAGCAAAAAGAAAAAAAATCTACCAAAGGCTGTGTACAAAAATATATTTGTCTCAATCTGCCCCTTAAATCCATCACTTCTCTGTAATGGATAAGTTTCATTATGTTTTCTGAAATCATGAATGGTCATTGTACTATTGATCATAGTTCTGACAGTCTTCAAAGTTGTTTGTTTTTATAGTGTTGTTATTGTATGAATCAATCTTCCAGTTCAATATTCAAAATTGATCATTTTTGTAATATTGATGTTATATGTAAATTGTTCTCCTGGTTCTGCTCACTTCACTCTGCATCAATTTATATAAATCTTTCCATCATCTTTTAAATAATCTATTTCTTTATTTCTTTTATTATTTTTTTTTGGTGAGGCAGTTGGGGTTAAGTGACTTGCCCAGAGTCACACAGCTAGTATTTCCTTATTTCTTACAATGCAATAATACACCATCATATATATTCATATACTTAATCATATACTTAATCAGCTATTAACTGATGGACATCTTATTTTCCAGAATTTTGCTACCACAAAAAAAAGCTGCTATAAACCTTTTGTACATAAAGTACCTTTTCCTCTTTCTTTAATCACTTTTGAATATAGGCCTACCAGTGATATAAATGGGTCAAAGGGCATGTATTGTTATTAATTTTTTGTGTGTAATTCCAAATTGCTTTCCAGAATGGTTGTACCATCCATAGGGCCACCAACATCTCATTAGTGTGTCTGTTTTCCCACAGCCCCTATATGTTTACCATTTCCTTTTTAAAAATGTTTTCCATGTTGATGGTTATGAAGTGGAATCTTAGAACTACTTTACTTTGTATTAATTACAATTAACAGTAAAAAAGAATCTTTGTTGCAAGTTCTTCTGATAAAGGTCTCATTTCCAAGGTATATAAGGAATTGAATCCAATTTATAAGAATAAGAGTCATTCTCCTATTGATAAATCATCTGAGTTTATGAACAGGCAATTGTCAAGGGAAGAAACCCAGGCTACCTATAGTCATATGAAAAAAATGTTCCATCTAAAGAACAACTTCTTATACTTATCTGACCACTCCTCAATCTTCTTTACTGGTTCATCATTCATATCACTATGGGTGCTCCTCAGGACTCTGTCCTTCTCTTTTCTCTCTGGGTAACCTATTAAGCTCCCATGGGTTTAATTATCTTTGCAGATAACTACAGCCCCAGCCTCTCCCCTGGACTTCTGACTTCAGATCCATTGCCCACTCCCCACTGCCTCTGAGGTCGCAGAATGACAGTCCCTCAAAGAATTGGGGTGGGAAGGCAAGATGCTACTGCCAGAAGAGCTCAGGGAATAGGTGGAGAGTCAGCTATGATGAAACAAGACAAGGACCCCAGGATGTCCATCAATTGGGGAATAGCTGAACAAGTTGAGGTATATTATTTTAATGGAATACTGTTGTGCTATAAGAAATGATGAACAGGATGATTTCAGAAAAAAACTTGCAAAGATTAATATGAACTGATACAGAGTGCAGTGAGGAGAACCAGCAGAATAATACACAGTAACAGCAGTGTTATACAATGATCAACCATGAATGACTTAGCTATTCTCAGAAATTCAATGATCTAAGAAAATTCCGAAGGACTCATGATGAAAAATGCTATCCACCTCCAGAGAAAGAGCTGATAAAGTCTGAATGAAAATCAAAGCATACTGTTTTTCGTGGGTATTTTTTGTAGGGTATGAATTATCTTTCACAATATAACTAATATGGAAATATGTTTTACATGAGTGCATATGTATAACCTATATCAAATTGCTTACCATCTCAAGAAGAGGAGAGAGCAGAGAGGGAAGGACAGAATTTGGAACTCAAAATGTTTTTTAAAAGTGTTAAAAATTGTTTTTACATACAACTGGAAAAAAATACTATTAAAAAAAAAGATGAGGACCCTAGTTATTGGAGCTGTGACACAAAGTCAAACAGAACAGGAACAACAACAAAAAAATAGAATGAATCACTGAACTACTGGTTGTAATTAAATAGAGGGGAGGAGAGGGAGAGGGTGGGGGAGGAGTCTCAATTTCCTAATCTAAAACCAAAGGAATTGGACTAGCTGGTGCTTGAACCCTGAACATTCTTCTATAATCTATTGGAACACAAGGTTCCAACTCTAGATCTATGATCCTTTAACCTCTAAGATCTCTTCTAGTTCTAAATCTATAATCCCTTAATATCCCCATGTCCTTCCCTATGACTAGGTTCCCATTGCCAGCCACTAGACTTCTCTAATACTGCCTGATGTCAGGAAGCCCTGACATACATTTGTGAGTAATATATCAATATAGATTTGTATATTTTTGTGAGTAGATTTATTCAATCTGGGTAGCTAGGGGGTACAGTGGTTAGAGCACCAGGCCTGGAGTCAGGAAGATTCATCCTTATGAGTTCAAATCTGGCCTCAAACATTTACTAGCTGTGTAACCCTGGGCAAATCACTTAGCTCCTTTTGCAACTGACTGCAGTGTTTTAATCACTATTCTGGTAACTCCCTGAGATATGTAACACCATGGACATTCTTCTATAATCTATTGGAATACATGGTAGTGCTCCTAACTTAGAGCTGAATACTTTCAGTTCCCAGGTGGAAGCTCCTTTTTGTCTGAGATTCATAGGCAAATGGCTAAAATGGGAGGCACCTCAGAGATCATTCAGTCTTTCTATTTCATTTTATAAATAAGGAAACTGAGTCCCAGAGAAATCACATGACTTGCCTTATATTGAAATAGCTAGGTAATGGCAGAGCTGGAACTAGAACCTGTGAACATGCACTCTGTAATGACTATACTATATGTTAGAACTTCCCTTCTTCACAGGGAAGCAGGACAATGGAGTTGTACAACAACCAGCCAATTAAAAGGATTTCTGAGGCTCAGAGCTGCTTGACATACCAGTGATCCTTTGCCAGTGAATTCTAGCTGAATTTGGAGATGCCTGTAGCTGACAGAAACCACAGAACCAGCCTTGATCAGCTCAAGGGCAACCTTGAGCAGAAGCTGCAGACCCAACACCTGGACCAGCACAGTGAGACCTGAATTTTAGTTCCAGCTCTTCCATTAACTAACTGTTTGACCTTAACCAAGGAACTCAATCTCTCAGGAACTCAGTTTCCATATCTACAAAAAGAAGAGGTTGAACTAGATGGTCCTTCCAAGAAGGACCAGTGGTAATGCTCACCTGGGAGCCCACATTCTGTGCAAGCCTACAGACATCATCATTTCTCAGAAGTCTCATCCTTCAAAGCTATGTTCAGTGGCTTGGCATGATGGACATTTACCTTGCCAGCTCAAAGAGAAAAGAGTCCCCTTCACCCTTGTCCATCTCTTAGCCATCCTAGACACTTACCAGCTTCCTGATTCGATCCAACACCAGGTCAATGCTCTCCTTGCCAATGGTATAATGGCCACGGGCATAGTTGTTGGCAGCATCTTCCTTCCCAGTAATCAGCTGCTCTGGATGGAAGAGTTGTCGATAGGTACCAGCCCGAACCTCATCTGCACAGAGAAGAAGATCATGAGTATCCAAAGCCAGAACTAACACTGCCCCTGGCCTGAACACCTGGAACCAGTGTAGAATAAGGAAAAGGATCAATGTCAAAGGCAATATGAGTCAGCCATTCCTATAGTCCATAGTAAACTCAGCCTTCACCCTCCCCAGTACTTATCCTCTTCTGTGCTACCTTTCTACTGTGTCCTCTGGAACTCAATTTTTTTTAAAGACGCTACTCTTCATCTGATAGCATTCTCTCTCTCTCTCTCTCTCTCTCTCTCTCTCTCTCTCTGTCTTTCTCTATCTCTCTGTCTCTCTCTCTCTGTCTCTCTCTGTGTCTCTCTCTGTCTCTCTCTCTGTCTCTCTCTCTGTCTCTCTCTCTCTCTCTCTCTCTCTCTCTCTCTCTCTCTCTCTCTCTCTCTCTCTCCATTCCTTTGATCTTCTGGTACTCACTGAAACCTGACTTTCTATTAAAGACACCAACATCTTTTCTTACCCTTTCTAAGAGAGGCTACTCCTCTCACACTCCTTTACATATAGTCAATCAGTCAATAAGCATTTATTAAGCACTTACTCTGTGCTACATACTATGCTAAATGCTGGGGAAACAAAGGCAAAGGATAGTCCCTGCCTTCAAGGAGCTCAAATGCTTATGGGGGAGGCAACATGCAAACAATTATGTACAAACTATATACAAGATAAATTGGGGAATGGCTGAACAAGTTGTGATATATGATTGTGATGGAATATTACTTGTGCTATAAGAAATGGTGAGCTCAATGATCTTAGAAAAACATGGAAAACTTGTGCAAAATAATGAAGGGTGAAATGAGCAAAACCAAGAGAACCTTGTATAGACTAATAGCAATATTGTTTTAAGAACAATTTTGAGTGAATAAATAATTTTGATTTTTACAAATACCCAAATTAACTACAAAGGACATATGAAGGAAGACACTATCAGCATCCAGGGACACAAATGTGTATGTGTACATATATATATATATATATATATATATATATATATATATATATATACACACACACACATATACATATTTATATTTAATGATAGCCATCTGGGGTGTGGAGAAAAGAAAAAATTTACATGACAACTTTATCATATTTTTTAAAGGAATAGCAAGTTGTTTCATGTGTAATCAACTTTTTTATTATATGAACTAAAAATTTAATAATATTTTTTAAATGATAAATAGGAAATAATCAATAGAGGAAAGGCACTAGAACTAGGGACTGGGAAAGGCTTCCTGGAGAAGGTGAGATTTTAACTGAAACTTGAAGGAAACCAAGGAAGGATGTAGAGATGAGGAGGAAAGCATTCCAAGCATGGCCAGTGCAGAGGAATGGAGTGTCTTGTTCATGGAACAGCGAAGAGACCAGTATCACTAGACTGAAGAGTATTGGGAAATGGGGGGGGGGGTGTAAGAAGACTAGAAAGGCAGAGGTGGTACTAAGTTATGAAGGGTTTTGAAAATCAAACAGAGCATCTTTATATTCAGTCCTGGAGGTGACAGCAAGCCATTGGAGTTTATTGAGTGGAGGGGGTAAGGGGGTTGACGTGGTCTTCCCCGTGCTTTAGAAAATTCACTTTTGTGGCTGAATGAGGAATGGATTAGAGTAGGGAGAGACTTGTGGCAGGCAGACCAAGCAGTAAGCTGTTGCAGTAGTCCAAGCATGAAGATACAATGGCCTGCACCAGGGTGGTGGCGGTATCAGAGGAGAGAAGGGGGAGGTATCAGAATCATGCTGCAACAGATTGGATGGGGAAGTGGGGGGTGGAGAGACAGCAAGTTGTAGAAGTTGACACCTGTGTTTAAATGATGAAGAAACTTGGACCCAGCAAGGGAAAGACCAGGGTTCCACAAGAAGCAAGAGGCAGCACATAGACTTGAACCCAGCTCTCCTGACTATGAGTTCCTTGCTCTTTTCTACCACACCACACTTCCTCTTGTTTACCTGCAAATATCCATGAAGCTAATATGTCAGTGGGACCATTTTTTTTTTTGCTAGGCAATGGAGTTAAGTGACTCGCCTAGAGGTCACGGAGCTAGTAAGTGTCAAGAGTGGGGCTGGATTTGAAGTCAGGTCCTCCTGACTCCAGGGCTGGTGCTTTATCCACTGCACCAACTAGCTGCCCCAGTAGAGGCCATTCTTGTCCCTTAGTGCAATGATCTCTTTCCATCAGTCCCACTACTTCCAAAAAGACTATCAAGGATTTGTCTATTTGCCTCTGAGGGTAGCCTTCAAGTTCGGGGGGGGGGGTTTAATTCATAAGGAGGGGCTTGGAATTTCTATTGAATTGCAGAATAGGATGGCCAATAGCTTTTGTGGTGTTCCTCCGACCCTTGCTTCAAATACTAGGTGAGGGGAGAGGCAGATTGATATAGCAGTAAGAGCAACAGCAACAACCAGTCAGGACTTTTCTGGACTGACAAGCATGCATCTCTCAACAAAGGGGTAGAGAATGAGGTATATATGTTCAGGTATGGCCAATTTCTTAACCTGTTTTGCTTAACAGAGCACTTATTTGTTAGAAAGGAGGTTTCTATTGGAGGAGGGAGAGTCATTCATAACTGACAATGATGCTTAAAAAACTAGCATCAAAAAACTTTTTTTTTGGAATTGGAATTGCTGGAAATTCTTATTCAAGTATCGGTTGGACCAGATGGCCTTTGGGAGCTATTCCATCTCTGAGCTTCTGTTAATCTTGGGTCAGAGGACTTGGATTTGAATCCTGGTTCTTCAACTAACAAGTTGTATAACTTTGAGCAAGTTCCTTTCCTTCTCTCACCTCTGTGAAATAAGGAGGTTGGACTAGGTGATTTTTGAAGTCCTTTCAAATCTCAGGTCGATGACCCTCTTACCAAAAAAATCTCTTAATGTGGCTATGTGGCAGACTGTCTCCAGGAGTCAGATCCAAGAAGGGGAGTGTGAAGTAAGGATATACACCACCTCCATGCAAAATCAAGATTTTCCAGCATTTTTCAATGTCCAATTAAGGACAGGTACTCCTGGTGAATAGATACTTACCTACTACGGAGGGTTCCAGGTCAACCATTACTGCCCTGGGCACATGCTTCCCAGTGCCAGTCTCACTAAAAAAGGTAGTGAAGGAATCGTCATTGTTAATCTTGCTGGCCTGGGTGCCAAAAGTACCATCAGCTTGGATGCCGTGCTCTAAGCAGAAAAGTTCCCAACAAGCATTGCCAATCTGGACTCCTGCTTGACCCACGTGGACTGATATACACTCACGCTGTGAGAGGGGAGAGAAGAAGAGAAAGAATACAGAGTGCCAGTCATTCCTCTGCCTTACAGTTGCCTCCATTTCTGGGAGTTTGTTCATCCCTGGAACATCCCTAACTAGAAACTCAATTTGTACCTGTAACTATTCACACATCCCACTAAGAACATCTAGACCTGGCTTCTTGGGTCCAGGGCAATGATTCCCTAGAATTTGGTATGAGATTATACAACACCCTCCACCCTGCCTCCATGAAGTATTGTTGTAGAGATAGAAGCGGGACCTTAAAGGTCTAGTTACTTGCCATGGATTTTTACTAAAAAGATAAGTTCTACTTTTCCCTTCTCTCTCTCTCCTTCTCTATTCCTATCAAACCGACTATATACCAGAGCCACAAGGCTTGTGACATATTGCCATGGGAAAAGCATGTGACTCATCTGTTTATTTCTATTCTTATCCATGGTTTGACACAGACTGGGGTGGCATTTCAAAACTTGGAGTTATCCAAAATGGGGGTGGGGCTTCCTAACCATTCCACTAAGTCCTGAAGCAAGGACCATGCTGGACAACAGCTCCCCTCCAACCACCCACCCAGTGGATCCTATGAGTTTTCTAATTCTCCAGGGGCAGAACTAGGACATGGAGAACAAGGCAATGTTCCTATCTCTTAGCCCCTAAAGGGTTCCAGGACTAAGTGCTTCCTAATTTGATAAATTCCACAGGTATTTAAGTATTTAAGGAAAACTACTTAAGCCTACACCTGTGCTAGATCTCGAGTGATACCGAATAAGTATAAGATGTGGTCCATACTCCTTAGGAGCATACAAGCTAACAAAACAAGACTTAGCACACAAATGAAACAATTAGGAATTAATACCAAACCATATGTAACAAGGCAGTAAATTCATAGACTTACAGAATTGAGAACTAGAAAGGCACTTTGTTGTTGTTCAGTCATACCCAACTCTTTGTGAACCATTTTGGAATGGGGCTCTTTTGGCAAAGATACTGGAGTGGTGTGCCATTTCTTTCTCCAGTGGATTGAAGGCAAACAGAAGTTAAGTAACTTGTCCAAGGTCACGCAGCTAATGTCTGAGGCCAAATTTGAACTCAGGTCTTCCTGACTCCAGGCCCAGAACTCTATCCAGTGAGCCATCTAACTGCCTTTAGAAAGGCACTTAAGAATCATCTAATCTAATGCCTTTATTTTACATATGTGGTAACTGAGGCCCAGAGAAGTTGAATAAACTTGCTTAAGGGCAGCTAGTCAATGAAAAAATCAGAGCTAGAATCTACATTCAGTGTCCTTTCTTCTATACCACAATTTAAAACAACTAAGTAACAAAATAAGCATAAGTTCTCTGGACCATTGAGAAGTTTACTGACTTATACTTCCCTGCCCCAAAGTCAGTCATTCAACTAGCATTTATTAAGTGGCTACATAGAGAAGAACAGGTAAGACTTATAAGTTAGTGGCCCTGACTCTCTGCCTGGAAATTGCCAATGTTATCTTCTGGGACTTCTCTCAAATACCCTACCCCATCCCACAGTCCCTCAACTCCACCTCTATCTTAGAATTCCCTTTGGCATAAGAGTAGGCAATTATACTTCAGAGGTCTTTTTATGGTCTGTGCCCTTGGCAGCATTATGATTCTCTATTTCAGAATACCTATTTCACTACCTTTCTAGTTACACCCACACATGTGGCAGTTAGTTGTGGCTTTCTGGCTTCTTAAAGAGGGTATCATCAGCATGAAGTATTAGGACATCTGGAGAACCGACCTCCACACATTTCTTTGCTCTATAAACTCTATAAGGGCAAGGTTATGTCTTATGGGCATATAAAAATGACTGAATGACTACTGTTTTATCTAACTTTATATCTCCTCCAACACCTAGCACAGCATTTTTGCACACAGATTGTGCAAACCCTTGCTGAATTTGGGTTTGGGGCGGGGAGTATTGAATTTGAGATGTTCTTCTGTGGTTCTGACCTACTATCTCCCAAGCAAAACGTTCTACTTCTCATCTATGCTTCTGGTCTTATCCAAGGAACAGCTCTGCCTCTAATCTGTTTCTCCTCTTCCTTTCCTCCCAGAACAACAGCCAGAATAACTGCCCTGGGCTTTAGGGGAGACAGGGAGAAAGAAGGTAGAGCAAAATGTCACTAAACTATACTGTTTAACCCAGTGATATTACTACTAGGTCCCAAAGAAACCAAAGAAAGAGAAAAAGGACCCACATGGATAAAAATATTAATAACATCTCTTTTTGTTGTAGAAATGACTTGGAAAATAAAGGTATGCCCATTCTTTGGAGAGTGGCTGAACAAATTATGGCATATAAATATGGTGGAATAATATTATACCATAAGAAATTATGAAAAGGATGGTTTCAGAAAAACCTAGGAGGAATTGTATAAACTGATGTAAAGTGAAGTGAGCAGAACAAATTATACAATAGCAACACTTACTTAAGTACCACAGTTTTATACAATAATAAAAGAAAAATAACTTTGAAAGACTTAAGAACTCTGATCATTGCAATGACCAATAACAATTCTAGAAGATCAATGATGTTCCACACCTCCTGACTCAAGAGGCAGAACAAGGCATACATTTTCAGACATAGCCAATGTTAGGATTTGTTTAGCTTGACCATGTGTATTTGTCACAATGTTTTGTCTTTCTCTTTCTTTTTTTAAGGGGTGGGGACAAAAAGAGGGTTGAAGACAGGATAATCAAAAAATTAAAAAAGAAAATAAAAAAGAAGAAATAAAAGATGGATGCTGAAGCATTTTTAAGTACATAGAAGAGAACAGAAGGCCAGAAAGAACCACAGACAAGAAAGGAAGCTTTGAAAGAAACCACATATTAAATTTATCACATATTTTTAAAGAAAAGTTGTACATAATAAAGAATTCACAATTTCATGTGCAAACCTCTTTCTATACTACTATAGATATGGAAATGTTCATTTAATTTGATGCTTATTAAGTTCATAATTAAAAAGAATAAAATTCTTTTTTTAAAAAAAAGAGGAAGAAAAAAGGAGAGAGGAACATTAAAGTGGATAACACTTTATCCTCTTAAAAAAGCATAATTTGAAGCTATATGATGCTGGTCAACTCTGCTCCCTGTGTCACCAGGCAAATCACTTTGTCTCTTGAACCTCCATTTCCTAATTTGTAAAATGAAGGGGTCATATAAGTAATCTCTAAGATCTCCTCTAGCTCTGTATCTAATGACCTATGATTCCCTGCTGGGAGGATAGGCTAAGGAGTTACAAAATCCTTCAAGGAATGACTAACTTGAACACACTGTGAACCACTAATTTAGTTAGTGACCTCCATATGTTTAGTTTCTTCTTAATGATTTTATGACCCTATATGATTAATCAAACAACATCCCCATCTTCTTTCACAGTCCTCTCCTATAGAATTCAAAGCAGGGGGTTTTCACTACCAACCTCATCTACAGAGGTTATGAGTTACAGGGGACCAGGAATGTCTAGGTGGCCCCCAACTGTCAAAAAGCCTGAAGAGATTGGCTTCTATTGAAGGCAATAGAAAGTCACCACAAGAAAGAAAGGGATATAGGCCTAAGGAGGTTATAATGGCAGAGTAGGAAACAGAAAATCCCTACACAATTATATTCTTATCATCAGGACCAGGGTTCTTCCTGTGTGAGACTATATAAAACCTCCCCACACCCCACTGCAATATAAGGTACTCAGAGAAGAGAGAGGCCCTTTTGCCTTTAAAGGATGTTTTGGGTGGAAAGAGGGGAAAATGGTGGTAGGCTGTCCTGCCCAAATCCTCTAACTTTTAGAACTGAAAAATCCTTCTCTATCATCACCCTAATAAGCCTCTCCATGGTCCCAAAATCTCAGAATGAAATTCTTCCATATAAAAAAATACAACACAGAAACAGGGCCTGGAAAAGCCTGTCCTGCCCACCAGCAAGGGAGAAGATGGTGCACTGTCTAACCTCCATATAGAAGTCCCCAAGGTCAGTGATATGCAGTGGTAACATAAGGCAATAGTCAATCCATGGCAGGGCAGCAGCAGCATCTTGCCCCTAACTAGATTCCAAAACTTCAGATATGAAGCACAGAAAATTAAAGAATGGCTCATAGAAACAGCTTCTTTGAAAATAGGTCATCCCTCCCTAACAGAGCCAGGGGCCAATATGCCTCAGCCCTAGAAGGGGTAAGCTGATCTTACAGAGGAAATTTAAGTCATAGGCCTACTGCAAACTCATATTTCAAATACCCTTTCTGGCCATCCAGGACTCACACTTATTCTTTCTAACTATATCTGCGTGGCTCTATTTTAAACCTGAGCTTGTCACCCAGGGCCTTCTGGTGTAAGGGGTTGGTTTTTGTTTCTTATGAATTTATGAAACTAGTCTGAACGTCTGAGTTTATGTAGCCATCTGAAAGAAGTAAGTTATTATTAAGGGTGTCTGTTTCCCTGAGGGGTGTGTGTGTGTGTGTGTGTGTGTGTGTGTGTGTGTGTGTGTGTGTGTGTGTGTGTGTTCAGGTCACCTAAGTTATCCTGGATAGATAGGGGGGTCCATCTTAACTGGAAATATCAACAGAGAAGGGAACACCATACCTTCAAAAGGTCCTATTCTAACTTTTCTATCAAGAAATCTTTTCAAATGCTTTAACTTAGATCATTCAGGGTGCCATTGTAATGCATTTCTCTCTATTTGAGGTATAGCTGGTCACATCATCTTTTCTTAAAAAATTCTTTACAGACTTGAAAAGCTTTGGGTCTAAGATCTACTATTAGATATTCTAAGGAAAATACTACAAACTGCCCTGTGGCATATTCTGTGTTAAATCCTGAGACTAATTCAAAATCATATTTGCAACTCTGATTCATTCATCACAGAATATTGCACTTTATATTTATCTGCATTTGTGCCTTATTGCCCTGTTAGCTTATGTGCTTCATGAAGGCAGGGGTTATGCTTTCTCTAGGAAGCATTTAGTAAATATTTGTT